ATAGTGGCAAGAAAATAAAAGATCCTTAAAGATCTTGGCGAGAATATAAAAGATTCTTGAAGATCTTGGCAAGAAAATGAAAGATCCTTAAGGATCCTGGCAAGAAAATGAAAGATCCTTGAAGATCTTAACAAGAATTTTAAAGATCTTCGAAGATTCTCCAAAGATCCACATGAAGATCCTCAACAGGATCCTCAAAGGTCCTCATGAAGATCTTTAAGGATCTTTAAAGATCCTTGAAATATTTTCACCAGGGAACAGGACTGTTAAGAAGTCCAGAGATGCTTACGTCAAGAGACTGAATGGTATTTATGAGAACAACTTGAAAAAGGTGATTTTAAGACAGCTTTAGTGTTACTTTTCTTGAGTTTTATTTTAATTTTAAGTTTTTACTTTTTTCATTGACAAAATTCAATCAGTCAGACAATCAGCAAGATAATGAATAATGTGTGATTATAAATTCTTCTTTTAATGGATTAACTGAATTAGTAGCTAGCTATAACTTGCCTTATTTTGTAGGATGATGTGGAGTATATTCCTGGTCATGCTGTGTTCACTCCAGAGGGCAATGTTAAAGTTGGAGATGCTGTTTACAGCAGTAAACACATTTTAATTGCAATTGGAGGGCGGCCAACTGTACCAGCATTTCCAGGTGTGACATAAAAAAATTTTTTGACTAATTCCCACTAATTTACAGGAATGTCAAAAAGTAAGTTTGTTAGGCAACCTTATTGTTGAAATGAATAATCATTTTTGCACTCTTGAGGTTGCCAGGTGGCAACTTCAAAAAGGGCAGAGGCTTGAGCCCTGTGGTAATGAATTAATCATCTTGTTAGGTTAATAATTTTTAAAAAATAAACTAATAATACTAGCTGTTAGTTAATGAGCTCTAGAGGTTAGGGTAGACATTCATTTGGTATGTGAATAACATCATAAAATTTATAACAATTTTAAATTAATAAATTAGTGTTGTTAAGTTAATGACGTCTTTACAAATTCAAATTATTTCCTGATTACCTCCAATCATCTTTGAACAGGTTGTGAGTATGGTATCACCAGTGATGGCTTCTTTGATTTAGAGGATCTACCAAAGTGAGTGTATGAATCAAAATTTTGTGATTAGCAGTAATCAAAACTTTATCAAAATTCTTGAGTGTGATTGGTTATCAGCAGCCAAATTTTCTCTCCATTAAGAGAATGTGTGCATGATCTGTTTAATTGGACCATGCAGTAGGACAGTTTATGCGACACACCTACCAACTGAAATGTACCTACCATTTGGGCATTTGTGACATGGACTACTGGGCTCATTTGTGGATGGAAAAAATCTGTACAGTCTTGATTTTGACTATACTTGACCAAGGGGTGTTGCTTGGCCAAGGACCGTTTTTTTTTTTTTTCAATCACCACTGAGTTATATTCCCCTTGGTTATCTTACTATAATTATTAACTTCCAAGAGTGACTGGCATCTGATTTTTCCTGCAAGTATCATGACTGCTAATTGAATCACAATGGTCGCAAGAGTATGGAAATTGATTGTTAACTAAACAAGAACTTGATCATTTGACACATTCTCCTCATCAGTAACATGGAAAATGTAAAGGAAACAATATGGAGAATATGAGAGTAATGATATCAGGGTTTAAAGAATCTCCTTTCCCTCATCTCGAGCATTTTTACTGATTTTGTAAGAAATAATATCATTATATATATATATATATTTTTTTTTTTTTTTTTCAGGAAAGTTGCTGTAGTCGGAGCAGGGTATATCGCCATTGAGTTAGCAGGAATACTCAATGCTCTTGGGTCCAAAGTTTCGTCTCTCATAAGATATGACAGGGTAATAGGCCATGTATAAAGTTCTTCGAAATTCTTTGAGTTTATAGTGTTATTTGCACAAAATAATTAAACAAGTTAGTGGGTATGTGAAATTATTTTTAATTGCAGGTTCTGCGAACATTTGACTCCATGCTTAGCGAAGGGGCTACAAATGAAATGGTGAAAGCTGGAATTGACTTGCAAACTCACACTTCAGTAAGTTAAACACTAACTAAGTTAAACCCTAAATCTGGTTTTAGTGGTCAACACCTAACCTCTGTTGATAAGTTTTTAAACTTTCTTAAATTTAAAAATAACTCTTCTTGTCAGCTACAGGGGGTGATGTTAGGTCTGATTTTGATCTCCCAAACAATCTTTCAAGAAATATCTATTATCTAACAGGAGGAATTTCTATTCCTCAAAATTTACATTTATCAGATCTTCAATTACAGCCAAAAAGTTCCTTGATTTGTTCATTTTATTTGAAGCTTTTGCAGTTTTTACAATTTTTAAGCTTGTACCCTCTCTGACACCATTTGAAAATAAATCACTTCTTAATCAAGGAAGATGAGAAATGTTTTTTGGTTTGATTTAAAGATTTCGAGGTAATTGGGTCTCTGAAAGTGCTTTCGGATTTGTCAGTTAAGGTTTTCAATATTTTTGCACATTCTAGATTCAGGAGATCACAAAAGACAGTGAAACTGGTCTGATGACCATTCACATTTTGAAAAACAAGCAAGATAAGGTGGCTCTGTCCGGGTTTGACTGCGTCTTACTGGCAATTGGGAGAGTTCCAAACACAGACTCCCTTGGAATAGATGGTCTGGTAAGTAAGCAACAACATACACAGCACCCTTAATGTGTACTCTCAAGCAACAGGTGTGTTGGGGCATCCACATGACAGGGGGATTTTTGGCGAGAATCCTTGTTCATTTGGACAGAACAGTTCAAGACTGTCTCTACAACACTATACTTACATTAAAACTAGTTCGAAAGACGCTTACTGATAAGAATTGTAACCTTTTGACATTCTCAGGGAGTAGATGTCGACAGCAAGGGACATATAATAGTTGATGAGGTTTGTTTATAATCATGAAAACATCGTAAAAGACACTTGTGCTTGTATCTTAAACCTGACTGGTACGAGATCTCTAAAGGTTTGATTTTATTTCTCGTAAAGTTCCAAAACACTTCCCGGCCAGGTGTATACGCCTTAGGAGATGTTTGCGGGAAAGCACTTCTCACGCCAGGTAAAGATATATACAGTTGTTACTCTCAGAATAGTATACCTGCCTGATTTTCACGAGTTATGATTATAGCATTCAAAATGAGTCTGATTATAGTATTCAAAATACCGAATTTCCGTCAAACCCGACGACTTCCGAACAATTACCTAAGACTTTCCAAGGACTTCCGAACACTGCTTAAGACTCCCGATGATTTTCCGATCTTTCTGAACTTTGCGGTGCCAAAATTTAGCACCATCTTGAAATACGACCTCGAAGTTAGAGTTTGTGTAGAATTTTGCGGTTTTTTTTCCCTTTTTTGCACGGTTGTGGTTATTGGACAGTTGTTAGCCATTGGAGTAAAATGCTCTTATGCACGTTTTCGCAAGCGTTTGGTAAACGCATATCGCGTTTGAGTCGGCAGGAATAGAAGTGACTCAGGTTACGATTTGTTAAGTGCAAGTATGATAGCGGAACAGATATAGAGAGACCTGAAATTTAGAATTAGTGATAATTCAGGAGAAAATAACCCTTGGTATTTTATAGACTTTTTATTAAAATTTTTGTACGTTTCTATTTCAGTGGCAATTGCAGCTGGGCGAAGACTCGCCCACAGACTGTTCGATGGCCAGTCGAATTTGAAGCTGGATTACAGCAACATACCCACAGTGGTTTTCAGTCATCCACCAATTGGAACCGTGGGCTTAACTCAGGGTAACTACCATTTATAACACAGCGGTCAATAGTTGGGCATGTGCAAGGGGATCAATTTTTAGCCGGTAACGCAGCAGTTGTCCGCGCAAATTTCAAATGAAAACACAGAAAAAGCCGCATTGATGCAAAATATGCAACTAAAAAAATCGGTTGTTGAGGCCGGCGAATCGCCAATTGAAGCAACTTAAGCCATCTTCATTGCATCATGCGCGCAGGCAGTACAATTTTCCGAATGTTGGAATTTATCAACAAGGGTTTTTAGTGCGATAGAGAGCTCGTTGAAAGCACAACAACGAGAATTTCCTGAAGACGATATCAGGTATCCGACCTCCGCTAGGAAAGAGTGACTGCTGTAACTCAAATGAAACGAGAAGGCTAACTGAAGTTGACCGTCTTCTTTTTTTTCAGAGGAGGCAGAACAGAAATATGGAAAAGATAAAATAAAAGTTTACAAGTCTACGTTCAGCAACATGTATCATGCGCTTACTCATCGAAAGACCAGCACAATGATGAAACTTGTTTGTCTTCTGCCTGAAGAAAAGGTTAGGAGAGGGTTAACTTACAATGGTCTGGCATTCCTTTAAACAGAAGTAGCAATACCCTTAATTCATTCACACCAAGCTTAAACATTCACGTCTTTATCCGCAGTTCAAATATATGACTTTCATATATTCTTAACCGTTTATTCATCACTTCACGAGTTTATTTAGAACCAACATCATGACCAGCTCCCAGTTGGCTTGTTAGCTCAGTTGGTAGAGCGCTGCACAATTAACACAGAGGTCGTGGGTTCAAATCCCGTACGGGCCTGAATTTTTTTCAGGCCTTATTTTCACTACTGCCTAAGCAGTGCACATTACTGTGAGGATCACTTTCATTCACGTCTTTATCCGCAGTTCAAATATATGACTTTCATACATTCTTAACCGTTTAAACTGATGTTAGTTTGTAAAGGTTAAGTATAACGGATATTTCAGTGAGTGATTTGGATTGACGTTTTAGATTTCTTTTTCCATAGATCCTTGGACTTCACATTCTTGGGATTGGCTGCGATGAGATGCTACAAGGTTTTTCCGTTGCTGTCAAGATGGGGGCAACTAAAAAAGATTTCGACGAAACTGTGGCGATCCATCCGACAGCGTCCGAAGAGTTGGTCACAATGCGTTGATTACAATAATTAGGGTGCTTACCATTTGTCAGAACTGACTGATTAGACTGATCAGATTAAAAGAGCGTGTTCCAAGCGTTTGGTTAGTAAAGCGAAGCGCGATAACAGCGGAGGAGTGAAAAAAAAAAACAAAAAAACAGGGAGGCTTGGGTCGAGTCGCCACCCGACCCAAACCTCCTGCATCGCGCTGTTTACTATTCGCTCTTTTTACCAACTGAACGCCTGGATCAGGCCAGTTTCACAAAATGAATAAAAGGAAAGCGGCCTTTCGAAAGAGACTTTTCCTAAAGTTTGAAAATAAAAATCCATCGGAATAGTGGTTGTAGTTTAGTGATTACGTCATCTGATAGGAAAGTTCTGACTTATTACTGAATACATGTACCATTTATGACTGAACCAATCTGATTAGCCAGATCTGACCAATTGTTTGTGCCTTTAATTTCTTCACTTTCGTCGTCATTATCATTTTCATCATCATCATCATCATCATCATCATTATTATATGTCCATGACAACGCGTGCCTATGCACAATCTCTGACGTTTCTTATAAGGAAACGGTCCCCGTACTTATTTTATCAAATAGATTTCATGTTGCCGTGTGTCTGTGCAATAACAGATCACAGGAGACGTTAAAATGGGGTTTGAACAAAACGTGGCACACGGGGCGAAGCCAAGTGTGTCACTGATGTGATCTACCACAGAACATACGCACAGCAACATGGAATCTATTTGTTTTATATAATAAAGAAGCAAAACTGAAGTTATTAATGGTAACGTCATCTAGGCGTCTGCCCTCCAACAGATGAGAACCAAGAACTAATCAAAATCCGTGTAGAATTCAATTTATTATAGAATTGCGAGCTGTGCATTGGCCTGCCTGTAATATCTTAATCAAAATATTCTTTCATGATTGTAATATCGCAACAATATCCGTCATAATGATATTCCTTTTTCAGGAAAAACATTAGGGCATAAAGAGAACTTTTTCAACTAGGACAGAACCTAATGCTTAGAATATAATGTAACGCTTAGGTTATCAATAAAATTGAAAGTGAAGACCAAAAAGTTGTCGGTTCCGATCTATTACTTGCGTTAAAATTGATATATGTGACTTAAAACGCAGTGACTTCCCCAGGTTGCTTCTATTTATTTATTTATTTATTTATTTTTTTTTTTTTTTTTTCTCTGTTTCTCCGGGTACGTTCAGCTCAGCACCATACTGGGTTATAAACTTCGATCATTAATCTATGTAAGGTATGTCAAATTACAATAATTTGTGAGGAGCTGGTGACAGGTCAGGGAATTATATTTTTGCAAAATCTCGACTCCGCCCAGCAGTGTTCTCGCCAGCATAACAATCTCAGTGATGACTCTCTTAGGCGCTTTACACAAAGGCATAAGTTGAAAAGACCACGCATGGGTTTTGAATGCCATGAATTTCAGCCGTGAAACATTTTGATACTGACTTGGAAAAATGTTGCTGAAAATTTTTCAAGTACGTGAGGTTTTTTCTTCTCTTCAAACACTCCCAAGCTAAAAAACCCTTCTAAAGCACCAAGTAATTTAATTAACGCATACGTAGCCAATCAGAGAACGCGATGAAGCTGACGCGAGCTTCACCGCTAAGTCAGATCGTGTTTTGAAAAGTTAGAATGGCGAAAAGCATGGTAGGTTTGGCCACGATCGGCCAGAAAAAGGGAGATCTGTTTCTTGCAAGCATCAGCTTTTAACGATTACACAATTGAAGGTATGGTTTAATTAGACATTTGAGGTAGATTCCCTACAAGCGCGAGATTTCTCAGTAAATCATAATTAAAGCCCGCGAAATATTTCCTCTAACTTATTTGATGCGAGAAGAGGCTTTGAAGAATTGTTTATCAGAAAAGACAAACAAGAATCGTCGTTAGGGTTAAGCTAGAATTATTTTATGCAAATATAAGTAGTTTTAAGCTGGCAAACCTTGTTTAAAAGCTAATCGGTTCTTAGTTCTTCGCGAGGGTTGCAAAGAGAACAACACATCGCGTCCAACAGTCACTTGAGAGCTCATGGATTAGCTTAAAACTGACTTGAGTCAGTAAAAACGGCCAAAGGGACAGAATTCTTAAAGTAAACGAATTATTTCTAGTTTTAAATAAAAACGAGTTAGTATGTTCCTTTTTACTTGTTTTAAACTTATTGAGATGACTGATCAGTTAGCCGCGTGATCGACTTAAGCGAGGTTCTAATTAACCAAAACTTAATTGCCGACTGTTCAATGAAAATTCGATACTCATTTATCGACGATTTTCTTCGATATTGTGTTTCTGTCGTTTACTGAAATAAATATTTTTACTTTTCTTGTAAGTCAAACGTTGAAAAAATCACGAATCACCTTCAGTTAGATGTTTATTCGCCATTTGTAAACTGATCCCTTTACAGTTTTATTTGAACGTTACAAAGCGTCACAGTTAGTATATACGTCAAAATCAATGGCGATTTTAAATTCTGTGACGGTTGGAAAAAATTTCTTGACTATCAGCATCTAACATTTTAATTCACTCTCACCTTAGTTTCATCCATGCTTTTGCTAAAATGCATTTTCGAGGCAAGCTAATTTCTCGCGTTCGCTTGTTCACGATTTTGATCAATCACTAAACTTCCCAGAAATAATTGTACACTATGTTGAACTACGATTAAATTTATGTGAGATTGTGAATGCTTAATTTTACTGTGCTTTGAGAGAATATCTCCATAACGTTGTAATATGTCAGTTCATAAACCGATCACCGTTCTGGAAGAGAAAAACGAATCTGTTTTGTTGTTTCCACATATTTTTAATTGGTGCCGTTTTTGATTCAACGCGAATTAATTGCAATTAACTCAGAACCCTTGGTTTGAGTCTTAACTATTTTATACACTTAGGAAAAAGTAAACTAAGGCCGTTCTCGATAATTTCATGGGCACATCCAGGTTAGAGCAAACTCGGAAATCTCCAAAGGTATTTCAGTTCAGTCTGTATGAATACGAGGAAATAGTAATTAAAGGTGTATGCTTTTCTCTCAGCAGATTGTTCTAAATGTGTATTTTTTAAAATTCATTTCCTACTTGCAAAAAATTATTCAAACCGTGTTCTTTCGTCATAAAACGAAACGGTATTATTTATCTATCTATTCAATACATTATGAATTGAAGTGTAAATAATTTTAACTTTATGTAGCTTAGGTATATTTTTATGCGTAAACAGTGTCCCCAATTAGTTTTCTTCAAGCTAGATACTATTGACACTTAAATAAAGTCCTTCATTCATTCAATACCCCTTCCTCCCTCCCCTCCCATTGAACAAAAACCCCCTTCCCTCCTCTCCCGTAAGGAGGTTCAGGATATTAACCTCACCCTTTTCCTGGGGATCTGGTAATTCTGGTTGGATCTTGTACAATATTCCATTCGAAGTTGACTGCCTTGTCAGAAATCTTAATTTTTTTTTTTTTAGGAAGAAAACCTACAGAGAATGACCGATGCTCAAGACACCATCAAGCCAAGCAATCTGACACCTGATGTCTTAGAAGCGGCGAGTATTCTGATAGCGATGAAGCGTGGAATGCGATATTTTCTCATAGAAGCTCAACAAGCGCGCCATCAGCTCTCTTTCTTGGATTTCGCAGCACTCAATCCTGGTTCCGCTCAAGTTCATTTTCTTGCTGGTCACAGAATCCCATTTTCACCCCTCTATGATATCACTCCCATGCCAGCGGCTTACCATTTTCCATTAGCGCAGCCGGTTGCCTATTATGGGATGTTGGCCTCGCCTTCGTGTTATGTAGGGCTGTCAAGGGAGCGCGGAGCATCTATGGAGGGTTTAGTGGACAGTGAAAGTACTCAATCAGGTGACTGTCTCCCAAGAGTGGCTTTTTTTCCTAACCCTTACCTTGATAAATGCCAAAGCAAAGACGTCAACTTACCATAAACGAATGTTTTGAGAACGTATGGTTTTGAGTGAGACGTAACACCACTCGTTTAAATTCTATCACAAGTTTTTTTGCGGATTGTTTAAAACAAGAACGCGCAACACGTAATGAAACGTTTCACGGTAAATTTCCTCGTTGAATAAAATATAATCCAAGGCAAAAACAGTGAGGAAATAATTGGTTAACTTAGGCAATTATAATTACAAGGAAGAATTGACAAATTTTGGGCAAGGGCGCAGAAACAACGCTCATTTTAAGAGACATGCACATAGGTATAAATAACAGAATACAGTATTTAAAAAAGAAAAAAAGAGCTTTCACCATCTTAACGAGCAATTTGCGGCATACGTGAAGTGCGCTGTAAATTGTCGATTTATCGCAATTTTCTATTGAGAGTCGAAAGTAATCCAATATTTCATTAGTTTTGCTCTACTTCGCTCTGTGATTGGTCCAGAAAACTCGCACTGCCAACTTAACCAATCAGATGTAAGAGTAAAACCAATCACGACTCGGTCACTCGCGTTTTCCCGCGCTTCAGGCGGTTTGCTTGTTTTTATATTGAGTTTTCATTGGCTTTTAAAGGTATTTTTCTTCTCCTCATTAGCCATCGTGATTTTATCTTAATCTGAAAGCGCTCTAGCATAATATGATAGCCAAGGCTTGGGCAACGTGTGTGGTTTCCTTACCCACTTTGAAGATGGCTCTACGCCGTTTGTTCATTTTCACGGAAATTTCAATTTCTTTCTGTTGCAGCTCCAAAGAGGATGCGGTTGTCCACTACGTCTACAAGTTCTCCTGAATGTGCAGCCAACGAGAAGCAAGAATCGAAGAGGAGAAGAAAAAACTACACCAAAGAACAACTTGAGATTCTCGAAGCCGCGTACGCTGAAATGAAATACCCACACATAGAAGAACGACTAAAGCTGGAGAAAGTTACAAAACTGACAGAAGACCGGATACAAGTTTGGTTTCAAAATCGACGCGCAAAAGACCGGAAAAGAATTGAGCCTGAGAAATACCAAAAATACGTTGAGGACACTCAAAAAATTACTGGTGAAGGCCAAAAAAATGACGCCGAGGAAAAAAGTCCGAGTGAAAGTCCAATTCAAGGTGCGCGACCAAAACAAAGACAAAACAGTAGTAGCGATACAAGTGACAATGCGTGTGGGGAATTTGACAATTTCACTTTTAGTGGACCTCAAACAGAATAACTTTTTGAACAAAAATTTTCGCAACATGAATAGGATGCTTAAATGAATTTCGTATTTTAAGAATTCAATTCGTGCGAAGCGCGTGAATCTTATCACAGATTAGTCGTAAGTCCCGATTAAAATTATACTTTTTTTAAGCTCTTGAATGATGGGTGTTGTTTGTCGTTTTTAATTATATCAAGGTCGTAGCTGGCAATGAATGTTGCAATAATCATTCCATTTGGAGCAATTTGCACTTAAGAGTCGAAAGTAATGCCTTAATTATTTTTGCTCTATTTCTCTCTGTGATTGGTCCAGAAAACTCGTGCTACTTTCTCAACCAATCAGATGTAAAATTAAACCCAATCACGACTTGGTCACCCACGTTTTCCCGCGCTTTTGAAAAATGGAAAATGTTTTGTTTTTTGTAAAAAGACAGTGTTATTTTATCACGAGACTGGATAGAGACCTACTCGTCTTTCGACTGAAATGCCCAAAGAAAAGAGAACCGTGTCACTCGTTTAGGCTATTTCCGTGAAATGCAAAATTACAATTCGCAGCTTTCTTGTGGGACTGAATCGTGAAATTACTGCACCTTTGAAACGTGAAACAACAGGTATCTTCTACTTTCTGTGAAGTTATATCTGTTAATTCTTCCCATTCACACGGGAAACATTTGATAAAATAACTCGTGTCACTCCCACTTTGCATAAATGTTGTAGAGATTTGCAACCTGTACACAGATTAAAAACTTTTCAACTTAACGCATCGCTTACGTCATGAATCGAAAATACACATAGCAGAGAAAAAGTCATGATGTAATAATAAATATTTATTAATGTTATGTTTGGACCTGCCATAACTCTTCTTTTTCATACGAAATCTTCAATCCAGTCTCTTAGGTTTTACAACCCTATCCTCTCAGAGTGCCGAACCAGTCGACTAACCCGATGCCATTCTATATTTCTTACATAAAATTTTTGTCATTCTATAGCAAAAATAGTGATAACTTTTTAAGAGAACAGCAGTAGAAAAACGGCGATGATTGTAATAAGCTACAAAAGGAAAAAATAAATAAGTCAATTAATTAATATAACTCCGTCAACCCACGCCCAGCGTGAAAATTTTATAAATGGTACCTTTATAAATATTCCAGATACTAACTAAATAAACCTTGATCCAGCCAAGATGCTACAACATTATCCAATTCCGCTATAAACAGAGGCCAGCCTCTAAACACACATAATACTCACAATTTAACCCTGTTAGTGTTCATGACATTTTGTCTACGAATGCGAGGCGAGGAAAATTTCCAATATCACAATAATCCACACTGGACCTCAAAGCCTTATATCAGACACTTTCACTTGACAACTCCACCCACCCGGGGTGTAAAGACCCTCTCCTCCCCTACGCCAATTTACATCCTCAAAACTTCAACTTCACTAAGTCATTAACAAGGTCGACCAGACCCTCGATCGATTGTTCACTCACTTAATAAACACATGAATGAAATAAACGACAAAAGGGAACGAATATCTACAGCGCACAATTCTAATAACCACACCCAGCGTGGAAAATTATGCAAATATTGAGTTACGTACCTAAAATTAGCTCAAATATATTTATAATCTAGCACAGTTTAAACAGTTAGTTACCTTGGGCCTGCCAATAAACTATTAAATAATCTCATATATCACACGGAGAAGCTACTCTCCCCAAACATGATAATTATTCAAAATGAACCCTTGTTCAAGGAAAGTGTTTTACAGAAATTCTACACGGACCTGTTTAAGGTCTCCATGGCAAGATATGTGTTAATTTACAAAATTACTTTTTTTCAATGAAATTTATTGCATCGAGAATGCAATGCAAATTGTTCCCCCGGGGACCGTGACCGGATGTTCCTGCATCTGAAGTGTCACGTGTCGAGGGGAAGCACCCAACCCTGACCTCCGGATTCGAAGGCGCTGATTCATCTCCACGAGCTGAGTGTCTTGACATCCGTACAAAGTGGTTCAAGCGTCTTCCATGGTCTCTTTTTCCATCTGAATTTACACATTTCTTCTCCATCACAGAGTTAAGCTCCTTTCTTCTTGGATCGTGGCTGCTTGGAAGATCAACAGCCGAATGGCCTTTGTAATTAGCTTCTGAGTTGCCGTACGGCAAACAAAGCCAGCGGTTTAGTGAACTGTCGCTTGGTTCTTCATGCGGAGGAGTTCGCACTTGTCCTTTTGTCTGCGCCATATGAGAGAAGACTTGGTCAGTCTCTCGAGTATATTTCTCGCTTAGCAAAATTCCTAACTGGCTTCTACAGCACAGACTTTGCTTCCTTTCATCCGCCAAGTTTTCTCGTAGCATGTTGTTATTTTCCCTCACTTGGACCACTGTTCGCTGAAGTCTAAGGATATGCTGTACTGCCTGTTGCAAAATAGCTGCCTTTGTTTGCTTTTTCTCTGTTGGGGGAAGCAGTCTTTTCAAACTGGTGAACCCCAAATTAATGTTCTGCATTCTCCTACGCTCGATCATGTTGGCGTTCAATCTTCGTTCTTTGTCGGTGTTTCGCACGCTGCATTTTAAAGATCTGCGAATGAAAAAAGGAAAATGAATGAAAAACGAATAAATAAGAAAAATTGCTAAATATAAATTAATAAGAAAGTGAAAAAAACAATAGTATTTACGTAGTCATGATGCAATACTACTACAATAGTCGATTTGTAAGCTTCTGAAATGTTCTAGAATACTTTGAAAATGTATGGAAGGACTTAGTCGTGTAGAAGTAGTAATAGTCGTCGTTGTTGTTGTTATTGTTGGGAGTGACCGACTATTTGGAATGCTATACCGAGGGAGGGCCACTATAGAAGATTTCAAGGAACTTTGTAGAGACATGTGAGATTGTGTAAGTGGTGAGCTAAGATCTAGTTTGTACTGGGCTTCAATAAGTTTATTGAGAATAATTACTGTAATGCCTTTAGGAA